TTCTACAAGAAATATATTATGTCAAGCAGAATTTAAGTAACTATTGAATAATGGAAAAAAGATAGTAACATTATTTGTAAGTACATACAGGGCGTGATGGATAAAATGTCACCTAAAAAAAGGAAAATAACACTGCCGTCTCATTTTAACATATATTTAGCATATTAACACAGAAAATATCTTGAAATACTAAATAGTAAATTTATCCAATATAATCGCCATTGGCTTCAACCCCAGCCTCCAGACGACTTCCGAATCTCCTGCAACTATCCTGAACGGTCATCTTTCTTTTTTTGTAACTTGGTGAATTCTGCCATATTTCTTGCCCACAGTTCATCTTTTGTTTTTACAAAGATTTTTGTTGGTCTCTTGTTCAACTGTGCCCCACACATAATAATCAAAGAGTTTGCAGTCTGGGGAGTTAGGTGGCCAGATGTGAGGGGTGATATTGTCGCATAAATTGTCTGAGACCTATGACTGGATTCTCCTGCTTGTGTGGCAATGTGCAGAGTTCTGTTGCCAGACATAGGGTCTTCTAGCAGCAAAACTCTTGACCCAGGGCAGCTCTACCTCCTCAAGGAACTTGATGTAGGTCTATGTGTTGTTTCTGAGGCCCTGGTGGAAGATGAATGGAGGCATAACATCGTCATCACCATTAGTGTCATCCAACTCTTTGCAAATGTTTTGTCCACAGATTTACACCCAAACACTCTGTTCGTATCGCAGCTTCCGGTTCGAGTGCCAAGCAGTACAGCATGCTGTTACCAAAATTTCTGGCGGAGTGAATTGCGTCATAGTGCTCTTTTTCTCACAGATGATGGCCAACTGTCCCTACAATACAGTGCAGTCGAAAAAATAAAAGACAAACAACGCGCATGCGCGAAATTAAAAATATAAAATGGCGACTATCTAAACATCGCACCCTGTATATATATATATATGGCCTGAGGAATGTATTTAAGCATGTAACAGTCTGATATTTGATATTGTCCTTAGTATCCACTTTTATATTTATTGAAGCTCTATCTTTGATATGGAACAATTTTACTGATAAATATTAACGTTAAAACTATATATTTTATCATTCATACATACATACATACATACATATATATATATATATATATATATATATATATATATATAGGAAATGGATTGTATATAATAAAAAGAATAAAGTCTTAAAATAAATTAAGAACAACAATATATATATATATATATATATATATATATATATATATATATATATATATATATATATATATATAATGATTAAAGGATCGGGCTTTGACATGGTTTACAACGAATGTTAATGTTACTATAGGCTGGGTAATAATCTAAGGTGTTGTGCCTATCAGATCACTTATTCAGCATGTTTAGCTATAATGATATGACAGCGAGAACCTAATGGTTTAAGTTATCAAATGATGAGAAAGGCAGCAAAGGGATGTTGATTTCATGCCTTCCCCAAGAGTATTACTACTAAGAGAATTCAAGCACCCAAAGACGAATTTCGAACTCGATTCGCAGATTTCGTGAGAGACATGTCCGACTTTGTCAAGTATGCCGTTTCAACATCAAAGCGAAAATAAAACGACTTGCGTCAACGAGCATGTGATCTTGACCCAGATCTGGCTGACCGTTCATTTTGAGAGGCAGGAAATAAGATTGGTCTTTTAAGGAAAATGTGCTCAAATTGAATAAAAGAAGTATTGTACTTGCTTTCGATTTTTCTCAACTATCTGCTTTAAACAGACGAGCAGTCAGTAAAAACAGAAGCACAGAAGTTAAATATTAGGCTACGGCCAAATGCTTGAGACTTTGATGGTCAGGAGGTTTTACAAGAATAAATGCCTTGTGAAAAACAGTTTTGTAAAGGAAATTTAAATGAAGTCTACACTCTGTAACTTCTAAATTCGGTCATTTCTGTGTGTGATATATTAAGATTTACTAAATCTAGTAATGTACTACTAATAATAATATATTGTAATGTATCTTTGAAGATCTTCAAAAAACTATCAAATTACAAGGATCTTGAAGTGAAAATCTAAAAAATGTGGCAATAATTCCAGTTGTAGTTGAATCCCTTGGATTGATTGGAAAAGATTTCCAATAAAAGATTCCTAGTCGACCATTCCTTAAAAAGATACAAAAGATAGTACTCACAAGTACAGCTGGCACATTGCAAAGAACTTTATCTCTATGTGTGTGATCTTAGTCATTTTTTTTACAAAATAATTAGTAGAAAAAGTCACAAAGCCATTTCTGACCTTTAGTCTCTGGTTCGGACCCGGGAGTAAAGGTGTAAACTACAGAAAAAAAAAAGAAAGATGGACCCGGAGATCGAGATTAACAGGACGTGAGGAATAAAGACTGAGACTATACCAATAGTAATCAGAGCTCTGGGCCTTGTGAGAAAAGGAATGGAAAATTTTACTAACAGTGTCCCAGGTAACATCAACATACAAGTTGCCCAGAAAATCGCCCTACTAGAACTAAGTAAAGTGCTATCAATTAAATGACAATACTCCTATAGGGCCTAAGGACCATAGTTTGGACCCAGCTTTACAGGATACAAAGTAGGTAACATAACACAAAGAATAATTATAATAATGAAGAGGATATTGACATAGAGTTTTATAATAGAAAAAAATTTTAAAAATGAAGTAAAGCTAGTAATAAAATATTCGTATTATTAATAATATGCATATGTAAATATTTTCATGCTTCTTAAGAGTTGAAAGCTCGGTGGATTCTGGATATTTTTCAGAATGTGTGCCATAAGGTAATCGTCGAAATTGTAGTACTTTGCGATAAAAAGTTCTATACATGTGCATTGCTGTGTTGGACGCAACGCCTGTCATAAATTCTTTAATAAAATTTAATAAAGGTTCAATGCCACAAGTATGATGTCCGTCGAATCAATGGAACATTTATAGAACTTGAAGAACAATTTACCACAAACAACTGCAAATTCGACGAATACATTTTCGAAAAATAATAATAATAATGATAATGAAGAGTTTATTGGGGAAGCATGCTGTGATAGCAACAATAATAAAAAATTGAATAAATAATAATAATTATTATTATTATTTGTAATAGTAGTAGTAGCACCTGTGAAAATATCACTGTTTTACAATTATAATCTTCTGACGAATCATAATTCTTAAGTTAATGATTGAAAAAGCTCCTTGCGTGACCTAGGATTATAAAATAACCATGGTTATTCATCTGTTGCATCGTGAAATATTTGAGTTTAGCAACTTTCATGAAATATTGCAATAACAATGATAAGTATGAGTGCAGGTCATTATTTAAAGAAGTAAGAGGGTACAAATGGAAAGATACAAATGTGAAAATTTTTTTTTATATTTCTCTTAATCGAACATTAAACGAATTAGAGCGTCAACACTTCCTCTATATTATCCTTCTTTAATTCTTTCTTTAGTTTTATCATTGAAAATAAACAGCGTCTCTGATAAGTCTTTTCCGCGTTTCTTCGCGACCAAAACGGAATACTCTATTATCTGTAATGTATTGACAGGGCGTAACGTACACGCTAACGAAAGTAGAGGCAAAATTATAATATGATAATAATGAAGGTCTATTGAGGTAGCATGTTGCGATAGAAATGAATAATAATAATAATTGGAATAAAAATGGTAATGCAATAATACTGATGCGAGTTGTCCATCCTTTACAGAGTTCGAAAGCGATTATGTGGCCTTGTGAGTGATGAATTATTTTTTACCCTGCAACCCTTAATCACACAGGCAGAATATTTCTAGATTCTCACTAATCTATCTCAATCGTTATAGCAGCTTTTCGGGCGTGTTACGCTTCTTAATTCCACCAGCTTAGACCGTCACAGCTTGGAATCGCAATGTCATGATTCACGGTGGCAAATCATTCCCATTCCCTTCATGTTCCTCTGATAATGAGTAAGTTCCACTCAAACAGCTTCTTCTGCGGAGACTGTTACTTTGTGGAACAGACGCCCGAGACAATGATTCCCTAACCGCTACAATCTTAACTTCTTCATGTTTACTATAGTGATTTACAAAACGTAGTTTAGATGTGTCACAAGGTCAAAAGTAGGGGGCACCCAGTGAGCATCGAACTCACAAGTCAATCATAACTGTTCTAGCGAGACAAGCTTGTTAACCATTACACCGCCTCGAGGTGTCCTATCTTCATGTCTACTATAAACCGTTACATAATCTCTTGTTCTTCATGATATGTACTTCGTCTTTCTTCCATACAACTTTGCCATTCAGTAACCTTCTACCATAAGCGACTGTTGGGCGTTGTATTGGGTGAGGAAAAGTAAAATAAGAAGAAGAAGAAATGTATCGGCTCAGTGGGGTAATAAAGGCAACAATAATATGATGAATTAAAGTAATTTATACACACTTTAATCATTAATAAAATGCTAAGAAAATAATAGTAAAAATATTCCACTAAATTCTTACTCCGCTAGCTTTATTTATTCACAATGAACAGATTACGAGATGGAGTGCTGAAAAGTCTCCAGCCAATCATGAATTAATTTTGGGCCAGATAAAAGGATGAAGAAAGGAAATATTCAGCACTCATCATAATTACAGGCTTCCAACTCATTAGAAAAGTAGATCCGTGTGAAATAAGTTAACATCTGCCCTAATATATTCAAGCAATACTGTGATGTTGACATTTATTCTTTATTCATGTCACTCTGTTAGATACGAGATGATCCTTTATTCACCAGATTAAAATAAGTTATCCTTTTTCAGTAAAAAGAAATTAAGTCCAGGTTGTATTAATACATTATGACAATAGTCAAATTGAGCCTCTGTTGCGCGTCGAATCAGATATTGTTGTAATTTCTGGCTTTATTGAATAATATCGAATCTATAGTCTAAAAAAAAGAAGGTAAAAACGGTTGTGTCTGGAGAAAATCTTGTAATCCGCGGATGCACTCCTGTCCTTAACCCTATTGGAAAAGGAAAGCAAAATAGATGTATAGGAAAATAAGTCTCGTTTATTCTCAGTGTCGACGAAGAGAACCAACACTTTCATTAGTGCGAAAAGAGATTTAGAAACACGGAATTATATATGCAGGCGGCGAGAAAAATGAAAGAGGAATTGGCTTGAAGGAAAGCGAAAAGAAACCCCAAAACATAGACTACAGAAGACAGATTGCATGGTTATTAGAAAAAGTATGATCACAAAATGCAAACTACAAATCGGGGATACCAAAATCAAACAAATACAAAAAATTAATAAACTTGGAAGTCTTCTAACAGAGAACGGAAAGTCCGACACTGAAAACCAAAGACAAATTGGGATAGCCAAAGATGCATTCCAAAAGTTAAGCAGAAAAAAATTCGTTAAAAACAAAGAAAAGAGTACTGATATGTTACGTGATATCTCTCCTCCTATATGTCAGTGAATGCTGGGCAATCTCTTCAAAGATGAAGAAGAGACTTTAAGCAACAGAAATAAATTTTTATATGCCATGGACCGAACGTGTGAGCAACGACGAGAATGGACAACAACGACGAATGGAAACAAAAAGGAAACATACTTAACACCAGGAAGAGACAGTTGACATGGGAACATAATGAGGAAAGATAATTGAAATGGGCATGTAATTAGGAAGTGGGGCTTGGAAAACATGATACTCACATGACAGATTGAGGGAAAGAAGAGAACAGTGCATAACATACTTGATGGACTTGTGTAAATGGATGGCAAAACAGGGTATAGGAGAAATAGCAAAAGACAAAAGTTATTAAGATCTACAAGGGAGAGGAAGTTGTGGAGAGTCATAATCGCCTACGTCCCGAGGGGAAACGGCACATAAAGAAGAAGTGTGTTCCTGTGACCACTACAACTAGAACGCATATGTCCCGCTCTTTTAGTTTCATGCTTATCCCTGGGTAGGCGTATTCTCTGTCACTCTCAATGAGAAATCCCTCCAGTACACCTCTCTCCCTCTCTCTCTCCCTCTCTCCCCCCTCTCTCTCTCTCTCTCTATCTCTCTTTCTGAACTTTCTAAATTAGGGGTGGGCAAACTTGCTTAATGAAAGAGCCACATACGATCATAAAATTGAGAGACGCAAGGCATGAACATTGAATACGTTTTTGTTACGTATACATTAGCATTAAACAGACCTTTTAATCCAATGGTGTATCAATTCATACCCAATAAATTATTATAAAACTTCCTGCATATTAAAGGTCAAAGGTCAAGCATGTTGCTTGTGAGCCGAGGTTTGGCCAAGTCTGGTCTAAATAAAGAGGGTTCCTTTGCCTCTCCCCTGTCACTGTTAATTAAACTTAAACTTGTCAGATGGTAAGATAAGAAAACGGTTTTCAGTATTCGCAAAAAACATTCCAATCATACACTGACGAAAAGATATTTTCAATGATTTATCTCGTAATACCACGCTCTTGAGATCCAAAACATATAATTTCAATTTATGTTGATATATATTTTTTATATACGGCTTTTTTATTTCTTGTTCTTTGTTATTAAGCGATTAAATGTTTCGCACTTTGTATTTGCGCCTCAAGAGGATAAAAGACAATGGGGTCCCTAGTTTTTTTTTAAATTCTTTTTTTCTTTCTCGTATTTTCTTGAAGAAAAATTAAACTGTTTTTCAACAGTGTGTGTTCTTTAGTATTTTACTATATCTGAAATTTAGAATTAAATAGTAATATTTTTTTTTCGAAGGAAGCCAAAGTGTTCTGGTTGTATTTGGAAAATAAACAAAAACCTCATTAAGAATTAAATTACTGCTGAACTTCGTCTTCACAATGTTAAATCTGGCTTCTGTTCTGTCGGGCTTACGGCCAAATAAAACTTGCATAAAAGAATGATTGCTATTAAAATATACAATTTATATACATTTATTTAGAATATAATGAACGACGCCGAAGTTGTACAATAAAAAATGCACACAACCAAATAAATTATTGTAAATATTTTTTAATAAAAAATGATTAGCAAAAGTTTACATAGCATATTTTTTTCAATCATTTCAAACGAATCAAGGAAATAAAGCCACTAAAAGATAAGAGGTTACTGAGAACACGAAAATGAAAAAAAAAACATTATTAAGGATCGCGAACAATAAAAGACTGTTCAAGAAGACATTAGATAACGATTGACATTGCATTAAGATTTTTAAAGATCAAATCAAATTTGCCTGGAACGCATCAAGCCGGAAGAAGCGAGAAGTGCAAACGAAGAGTCTATCAGCATAGAACTTACGGTTGCATCTAGCCAATTCAACTGTAAATTGATGTGACCTTGTTGTCAATCTAGTATTGCGCTTAAATTCATAAACTTTAGATACCATAGTGAAAAGTTCAATGAAAGGATTTATAGAAAAGCTACAGGTAAGCAACATTACGGCGGTTAGAAAGTGATTGAAGCCGGAATGCCAGGTCAGGACCAATAATATTGCTGCATACATCTCAAGGACCATAGCTTTAGGTATTTCAAAGGACGTTGACAAGTAGTACAACAAAATTGCTTCTCAAGCTGCCTAGCTATGAAATCACTGGAAGTTCTTCCTGACGGCTAGGTCCCTGATGGTAGAATTTAACGGCAAATCCTCTGGGGCCCTAGCAATTAACGTAGGCGTCTCTCAATGGTGGCTTCTTGGATCAACCCTTTTTTTTATAATTTACTTAAATGATCTACATAAGAGTATACTCCGATCTTTTGTGAATATCTATACTGATGATACTACGGTATATGGGTTCGCCTCGAAAACTCTTGATGGCCAGAAATTGGCGGCTGATCTCTCCCCCGATCGAGCTTTAACATATCAGAGGGTGAAATACTGAATGGTTGTTATGCAATTCATCGAAAACCAAACTAGTTACATTCCATCATCAACAATCGGACCCAGACCTACCACCGGTCAAGATGAATGGCTGCTCACATTAAATGATTGTTATGCAATTCCTCGTAAACCAAACTAGTTACATTCCATCATCAACAATCGGACCCAGACCTACCACCGGTCAAGATGAATGGCTGCTCACGATAAATGAATACCCTAAGCGCTTATTAGGGCCTTAACCTCAATCCAGACCTCAAGTGAAACTCATATATACGATCGATCGTTACAGATGCAAGAAAATATTCTGTTCTCTGTACTGATCCAGTTAGTTTCTGACTCCTCTTGCTATCTTCTACCTTTACAAAACCCAGATAAGAACTAAAATGTAGTACCGTATTTGACGGCATATAAGACGCACGGGTGTATAAGACGCACCCAAATTTCAGCAGGGCAAATCAAGAAACAATTAGTAATTTGTAAAATTAGTAAAATTATTAGTAAATGGTACAGCCTAGGCTATATTTATGAGGTCTTATTTTGGTTAAACAAGCCATGATTACAATTAAACGAAAAATATTAGGAAAAAAACATGAGTCCTTAAAAACTTTATTATATTCAAAGGTAAGAAAACAAAATATTAATACAATTGAGCAAAACAGTACAGTTACCATTAAAATTCAGTCAAAAATTTTTATTTATATGATCTGTACAACTTGCGTCTTGTAAACGTCTTATTGGAATAATTAGGATATAAAAATTCTGATTGTATTCATACAATGCAACTGGAATTTATCGCAAGAAAAATGTTAATGAAACAAATATATTTTACAAATATATGATTAGAATTTATTGCATATAATTTTAGTGAAACAAAGTACTAATATTCAACGTGATGAAATTAATATAATGAACATTATCAATGATAACATTTTAACCTGCATCATAGCCTTTTAAATAATGACAATAGGTATATGAAAGTTACTCTAAAGTCTAAGCTAATAGGCGTTACTAGATAGTTAATTTCGGTCGACTATCGTGAATTTCAAACCTACATATGGCATATAAGACGCAGGGGAATTTTAAAAGATATTTTTAGTAAAAAAAAAAAAAAGTACGCCTTATATGCCGTCAAATACGGTACTTCTGTCATATTTGAGCAGGAGTTGCCCAGTCTCTACGTCCATGTGGGGACGAATTATTTTCTCATCCTGCCACCTCTCTCACACTGATGAAATGTCGCAAGCCTCTTACTGCTCTATCGCTACTTCCATTTGAAAGTGCTCAGACGAACTACATTCCTTAGTTCTACCAGTTCTAGCCTTCACGGCTAGGACCCGCCATGCTACTGGCGTTGTGGTGAACCATCGTCATTCCCTCCGTATTCCATTCATGAGAAATAAGTCCCACTCGAGCAGCTTCTTCCTGCGAACCAATGTTCTGTGGAAACCGATACCCAAGATGATATTTCCCCGATCACTACAACCTTAGCCAGTTCAAAACTAGGGTTAATTGTTATCTTCCGCACATATCCGCATAAATTTTGTCTAATATTCTGTAACCTTCCACCTCGAATGACTCTCGGGCCTTGTACAAAGAGAAACTCACTGTAAAAGAAATATTCATGTATTAATACTGAAAACTTTACCAACATATGTTTTATAGAAGCACATTGACTTGGTTAATAAATCTTGTATAAGCGTTTCTATGTGGCAGTCGATTTTCTCTTCCTGATATTTTTCTGAATCTTTTTCATCAGATTATTTTTCTGACACAGTAGTTTGCATCCGACCTGTCGCCCTAAACCAATATTCCCTTCGTACAGTTTTTACTAACTACCGCCCTCTTGGCGCCTTAAGCCAAATCCCTTGTGTTCCACTATAACAACTGATATAAAAAGGATTAGTATCAGGTATATTGCAAATTTCAACACAACGACAGCGCCAGACGTACATCCGTGGCTATATCTATACACCTACAATCCAAGAGGCTGATCTCGTCCGTAGGATCTCGCTGAAGTATAGTGCGTCCTGTCCAGATAAAGTCAAAAAGAATTTTAACTTCGGACAACAAAATAAAAATAACACACTGTGGTTGTGTTTAACTTGTGTTTATTTTATTTTTTGTAAAGGATACAAGTTCGTTAAGTGAAAACAACTTAGATTTTATCAACGAGATTTTGTAAACAAAAATGACTATTTGGATCTATTACTACCCATGGTTCCCTTGTTGTTTTTATAATCGCCTTCATACCGCCCCCTTTTTTTCCACACCGACCACATGGATAACCACCACAAGGGGACAGTATTGTCCACTTTGGAAATTTCAGTCCCGAATCAGTCAAACTAATTCTTTCGCTATCTATCTATCTATCTATCTATCTATCTATCTATCTATCTATCTATCTATCTATCTATCTATCACTCTCTCTCTCCTCTCTCTCTCTCTCTCTCTCTATTCATATATATATATATATATATATATATATATATATATATATATCAGTTTGTGCATATCTGTCTGTCTATGCCTGTATGTCTAGTTCTATCTCCTATATTCACATATCCACGTTTCTAAGTCTTCTTCGATCCTCGATTTTTGTTCTTTCTCTCTCTCTCTCTCTCTCTCTCTCTCTCTATATATATATATATATATATATATATATATATATATATCCCAGTTTGTTTATGTAACTATCTAGCTAGTTAGGTAGCTATCTAATTCTCTTGTTTCGTGATTTGCCTATGCGCCGAACTTTGTCGATCCCACGTGATGAGTACTTATTTATCTTGCAATAAGCATTTAATCGTCGGCAGTATGTGACACAGTTACCTAGACAAACAATCTATGGCAATTAACGTACAAAGATAAGAACACCACTAAATAAAATCGTTATCTTGTCGGCCAGAGCTTAACCCATTGAACCTCGAGCACCTGACCACTTCCGGATACACTAACCTTGACATCACTACTTCAGAAGTGTCTTTTTAACAGAATTCAATTTTGCATTATTTTCATCGACTATTGCTGTTAATCGGTTCATTTCAGAACATTTCATGCTTAAATTCAACCTCTGATTTTGCAGGTGATTTTTCAGGGATCTTTTAATCCCGCCAGATGCATAGTATTACTTTCTTCTGATGTAGACTTATTTTTGGAGTAGTTAACGAGGAATCCTTTCGTTTTCATCATGATCCTTTTGCTCCACATTGTTATAAACAATCAAGGTTTCATCGCTTGGCTTTTTTTTATTTGAAAAATTGGTTATTCTTTTATTTTTACGGATGAACAGAAAATCGCAGATCAAAATGCGGTTTATTAAATTGCTTTCCTTTAAATCAAGACAGACAGACGTCATATCAATTCACTCATCCAGCTTCTTTTCAAAATAAAAACTTAAAATATTCATATTAGTTATGTAGATTATCTCTGCAATGTCCCGTGTTGTGCAACGTGGATTATTTTTTATCGGTGTTTCGATTTGTTCATCATCAATGTCTACAGGCCTGCTAGGGTTTACTCGACTTTCCAGACCTAAATTTCCAAGTTTAATCCTAGAAAACAATTTTAGCTATGGCACCATATCCATAAATGGCACATAGCGTTTTCAGGTTTGCACAGTGTTTTTTTTTCCTTTCTGGAAATAAAAGAGTGTCTTCTTTTTCTATGCGTCACGTTCCGTCAGGATATGGGCGATCAAGGGTCCTGTCACTGGATCTAACCAACCTCTTTATCCACTGTGACATGTGTCCTTAAGGAACTAAAACAGTCTACCCCAGCGAGCGAAATAAAGGGTTCAGTCCAACCAACTGAAGAAGGCCGGAGCGTACAACGTCTGAAACGTTGTAATAAATATGGCAACAGAGATGAGGACAATGGTCCGAATAATGTCAAAAGTGCTCACCCTTCTTCATTATGTCGCTAAGGAATTCCAATTGTACCTTTCTGGTTTTGAGTAGAAACGTTCATTTTGTTACCAATTTTGAAAGCTTCACCGTTGCCTACTCGCAACGTCTATGGAATTCTCAGTTTTCTTCTATAGAATAACGTTTCTGATGCCTCCAATTTTCTTCTCGTGCTTACGGAAATTGGTCAGCGTTCAATCAGTCAGTTATGTGCCATATGTAATACATGCTTGGGCGATCAGGTCTCTTTTCGATTGATGAATCATTAGGCAGACTTTCCCGCAGTAGGTTGCCTTTTCTTTCTGCGGTAGACTGGATGCCAACCAAGGCTATAAGAGTATATATTTTATTTCCCAGCGATTCTGGGTTTTTCTAACATCCTTTCTGAATAGGTCTATTCTTCATAGCCATTCAAAATGGTCCATTTGCCGTATCTTATTTGACGATTTTGCTTAATCTATAAAACAATTACTCATCATTCTGCTTATGTATTGCTCTCTCTCTCTCTATCTCTATCTCTATCTCTCTCTCTCTCTTTCTTTCTTTCTGATAACATTTTAATCAAGAATATTGCATTTCTCTTCCAGTATTCTTGACAAAGCCGCTGAGTTTTTGCCCTTATACCGGTCTAATTCTGCTTTGGCCTCTCTTCATCAGGATTCGCACCATTACTTTAGTAGTGTGGTTCAAAAAACTGGTTATCCTATGGAGCTCGCATTCATTTGTACCTAGTTTCTTAGATAATATTACGGCAATGTATTTAATGAGGTCCCCCGGTATTTTGGTACTGCATTATATTTCATTTATTTCTTCTGTGGTCATGTTGATTCCAAAATTGTCTAAAGCTAAGACAATTTCAGTTAAGATCTAATCTGACCCTGCTGTTTTGATCCTATTCATCTTCTCCAGTGTTTATCTGATTTCAACTTTTAATATTTCTATCCCTTCCGCTCTAAGTTTGTTTCTTGAATCGTGAAAAAGATCTACCTTTGGGTTTTTTTCTATTGTCAGTAATCTTCCTTTTTATTTTATGGGGGGGGACTGTTGATTGGCCCATATTGCGTCCTGTTTCATTTTAATTTTTAACATACAAACGTTTAAAATTAACAAGCAAAACACAAATAGGAAGAGACGTTGAAATAGCACCAATCAAAAGGTCATATATTTCAACCCTGTTTGAAACTGAATCGCATATTCAAATTTCATGTACTCAAAAAAGCTAAGAACTTTTGCTCTAGTCCAGTACTTACGTTAATGGACATTTTTTTAATAGTGGTGGTAATGTCGGGTTATTACCTACGGGGTGGTGAATATGGCCGATTAGCTAGTTCTACGGTTCAATGGGTTGGCATAACGATAGTGAATTCTATATCTTTACGTGATTGATGTAGCAATACTTAAAGGCTCATAGCGACTTGATGAAATTCTTCCAACTTGGATCTTTATTGGATTTTAAATAAATGGTTTGATGATTATGTTACTCACTGGTTTTCATTTGATGAATATCACGTTCAGTTACGTTCAAAGTCTCTTTGAGCACTTTCTGATTTGATTCTTTCTTTTTTTTTTTTTTCTTCCTTTTGGACAGTGACTTTCCACCTACTTAAGAACGCAAATCTCTATGGCTTTCTGAATCTACTGAAGGCCTTGGGTATTAATTGGCTAATGAAGTTGTTAAAAACATCGCTTCGACCCAATTCTAGATATCAAATTGAAACAAGAACGGAAATCAAAAGCCTTATTGATATTTATTAGACTTAGCTCAGTATTCACTAAGCCTTCATGAACGAAATGTGGGATGTGAAGATGGTGGTGGGATGGCTCCAAGTGTGAACGACCTGTTTGCTTTGATAGTATTCTATAGTCATGGTCTATATTTGGAATTGAACATTGTTCAATTCAGCTGATGAGAAATGAACAAAATAAAAAAAAACTTAGATCAATTTTATAGAACTGGAAAGATCATGGGGTAGAAGATTTGACTTTTAGCATTAGGGACGGTGGGGGGAATACATAACTATGCCAGTTAAGAAACAGACTACAACCAAAAATGTCATAGATATTATATATTTCTATAGACTAGACTTTAATATTGTTATTTATTGTTAAAATACAACAATTGTGGAACGAGGTCTAAAAAGGGGAGGGGTAGAGGCTGTTCATCCCTAGTTATCTTATACCTCAGCTATTCCGATTCACGACCTATTCACTCATTACAATTTCAGCATTCAACATAAAAACTCATCCGTCACCAATCAATCCTCCATACGCCATAACAACGGATTCTCTCAAGGAGGACCGACAAAAAACGCCCCATGCCATAAAAATTTAATGATAATAAATTATTATATATAAAAATCTAAAGATGAAGAAGGAGACGAGAGGGAATGAACCCGAAAACAAACTAAACATGAACACAAAATAAATTAACTAGACTTTAATAGTATGTCTTTCGTTTTTATCGACTAGACTTTAATATTATGTCTTTCTTTTTTATCGACTAGACTTTAATATTATGTCTTTCTTTTTTATCGACTAGACTTTAATATTATGTATTTCGTCTTTATCTAAAAGACTTTAATATTATGTCTTTTGTTTTTATCTACTAGACTTTAATAATGTTCCTTTCCTTTTTTATCGACTACACTTTAATATTATGTCTTTCGTTTTATTTTGTAGACTTTGATATTTTTCGACTACACTTTAATATTATGTCTTTCGTTTTATTTTGTAGACTTTGATATTACGGCTTTCGTTTTATTTTGTAGACTTTGATATTCTGGCTTTCGTTTTATTTTGTAGACTTTAATAATGTCTCTTTCGTTTTTTACACACTAGACTTTAATATTATGTCTTTCGTTTTATCTTGTAGACTTTGATATTATGGCTTTCGTTTTATTTTGTAGACTTTAACATTATATATTTCGTTTTATTTTGTAGACTTTAATATTATGTCTTTCGTTTTTATCAACAAAATTTAGTGCCTTTTTCTTTTCCCTGTTCGACTATTGACATGACGCGTTTTCTTTATAGCTGCTGGATTTTGATATTACATCTTTTTCTTTTTTTCGCCACTATTGTCACATTTTTACGTTAATTTCTCGAAATGCTAACCACGCATAAACAGAATATACTACGGTCTTTTATGGCTATACTTGATGAATAGTACCATTTGTGAACCTGTGTACCCATACCCAACGTTGACAACTAACATAAGGAGGTTGGGCAGAAAACGTGACTACGCCATCAAAAACTAATCTACGTCTTCGGTATTTAGGCTTTTGTTTTTATATGGCGTCAGTGATGTGACGTCTTTTATTTTCATCTACTTGGCTTTGATGCGCCTTTTGTTTTTATCTTTGATGTCTTGGTTGTTTTTATTTTTCTCTTGTAAGCTTTGATACGATGCCTTTTATTTTATCTGCAATATTTTGAATATTATATCTATATATAACCATTGTTATATTTTGCGTTATTTTCGGCAAATTCTAACAATGTGAACAGACTATACTATAGTGTTTTATAGGCAGACTAAATTGAACGGACCCAAATATGAAGAAGTGTGTCCAGGTTCAATATTGATTTCTAGAATTGAGTGC